GGGAGGGAGGGAGAGAGGTGGACGGGAAGGGGGAGGGAAAGGGCGATGGGGAAGGGAAGGGACACAAGAGGATGTGGACCTGCGCTGAAAGTCTTGTTCTGCTCTAGGGTTGCTTGTGCAAAAGGGTTTGCGGTCTGCGCAAAGGGGTTGAAAACGTTTTGCGCCGGCTTGCTGAAACTTTCTGGCAAAAAGGGGTTCGCTGCCAACGAGATCAGTCGAGATACCTGGACAAGACAATCTGAAGGACCTGGTGCGGTCTGCTGGTGTTGTACTGGCACTGGCTGCAGCTGCTGGCCAGCATCCGGAAAGACAGACGTCTTCTGCTGATTGTTGTCTCCGAATACGTTGAAGCTACCAAGGCGTGAGAGACCTGACTTTACCTCCTCCTCTCTACTCCTCCCTCCGTCTCCTTCCTCTCCCGTCTCCCTCCCCCTTCGTCCTCTTCCCTTGCTTCCTCTTTCTACCTTGGAGGGCCAAAGTTGTGTGACGACGGGGGTTGAAAGCCGAAGACAGGCGGCGCATCTTTGAAGTCAGTCAGCAATCTGGAGCTTCCGAGGAATCAGTGACCTGAGCGAGCCCCGGGCACGTTCTGCGAGAACGACGAGAAGATATTCGGCGGCTGGATAGAGGATCCTGTCGGTAGAACATCTCCTCCCCCCCCTGATACTCCTGCCCCTGCCGCTGCCGCTGCCCCTGTGCTAGCGGAGGGAACAGCAGCAAAAGGGTTCTATGGGCTCGCATGTCAGAGCTCAGTGGGCAAGGCAGAATCAGGTCAAGTACCGGAAAGACAGTCGAGTTCGGAGACTTGACGGCAGACGAGAAAGCGGAGAAGATGGAGGTAGCTGGAAGAGGGAAAATATGTCAGTACGGAAGGAAATAATTGGAGCAGGCCGCAAGGAGAGGGAAAGGATGAAGACGGAGAAAGAAATTGGACGATGAGAGAAGGAGGAGGGGTGAGGTGGGGGGTTGAACGAGAGTTTGTAGGAGGGCAAGCCGGCAGAAGAAGAGATAGAGGTCAAACCAGGGAAATTAGTCTGTGCAGGAGGGAATATGCTAGCAAAGGGATTCTTGGAGTCCTGCGTCGAGCTGTCGACTTGAGACTTGGAGGGATACGGATCGCTCATGGAGTTCTCCGACGGGTTTCTCGGAGGAAACTTCCTCTTCGCCTTCACCAGCTTCCTCTTGCTCGCATCCCCAGAGCTCGAATGAGCTCCTCCCCGAAGGCGGACCGGCCCCGTGAGCCCAGTGTGCGCGCCATGCATGGCAGGAGGGAGTCTTGACGAGGAGGCGCGGTGCAGTGCGATGAGGAAGGATTGCGGGGATCCATGGGAAGTCGAGTGAGAGGAAGAAACAAGATCTCGAACTTCAGTCTGGCATGCGCTGAAGCTCAGGAGCACCAGGAACGGGCCCGCAAGCTTCATGATGTGCGGAAGGCGCAGGGGTAAGAGGCAGAGGGATGGAGGAGGAGGAGAGAGTGAGAGCGTCAGGGGCCAAGTGCATGAAGGGCTCGACGCTCCTCGCTCCTTACCGCCGCCATCGCCGCATTCCGCCCAGTCCTCTTCTGCATGGATCCTCCATAAAACTAACTTATTGCCGTACAAATACTAAAACGATTTGGAACGGTACAACAGAAACACGTTTATATCTATATATTTCAATTGGACCCAAGTTTGAAGCTAATAAAGATTTTTATTCATATAATATTTTATGATCAAATTTGCGTACTGAATACAAATCAAATCATCGTACAGACAATATAACACTACAACCACCTTTTTAGAAGAGCCTGGCAATGACGCAAGGGCGGTCGGGGGTGCGAGCAGGACGAGGAAGGTAGTAAGAGCGGAGGAAGACAGCATTGTATCAACTGCACACTCCTCTCCCCCTCATCGACTAGTGAGAGCACCTAACGACAGGCTTCCCCATCCTCCTGGACTGAACGCCAACCTGCAGTCACATAGCGAGAGGGGCAGGGGTTGTTGGTTAGGGTTCTCACGAAAAAGCAACGATGGGGGTGAAGATCTCATGGAGGAGGAGAGCCATCCTGCTGCTCATTGCTGCCGTGCTTGTTCGGCCTTCTCTCGGGCACGAGAAGGGAGTCAACGTGTGCTCGCCAGACGAGGACAGGCCCACCAAGAGGTCCGCATGCACCCAGGACAGCTCTTGCAAGCACGAGACCCAGTGCGGTGAGTCAATCTATCCGTGTGTATCGGCATGTTGTGAAATTTCTGCTGATGTTTGCCTTTCTCAGGCTGTATACCCAAGGGATGCAACTGCGGTGACTTCCATTGCATCTTGAACTTGCACCCGCACTCCCACGGCGACGGCCAGCATGCAGAAATCAGCTCTAGCAAGCTCCAAGGAGGGAGCAACCACATCCACAAGGATGGGACGACACACTCGCACAGTGGTGGCAGCAAGCCCCACCATCACATGTCAGACGGCACCGTGGTCTACGAGCCGGATACCAACGACCCCCACAACGAACCTGTTGATGCAGACAAGGCAAGGTCGAGGTCGATGAGGGTGGGGACGATGGGGAGTGCTGGGAACGCAACCAATCCAACTGACAGCAAGACGCACAAGCAGAAGACATGGGGGGTAAAGTTCGCCTTCTCTTGCTTCGAGTCCTAACAGTCAGGCTAGCTGCTGATGTTTCTAGTCGCGGGGGCTGTCGGGTGTATGGTGATGTCAGGAGTTTACATGATAGTGGCGCCCTTCTTTGTGAGACGCTGCTGCCTACTGCTGGTGCGCCTGTCTCATGCTGGTGTGCAGACTCGTTGCTTCCGACGGAGAGTGCTGGGCAAGAGTATGTTGTCAAAGGACATGTTCGATGACAAAGAGGTATGCTTGTGTGGTTATTGCTGGGTGGTTGATCCCAAGGGAACAGATGCTTGCGATGGATTGGGAGTCAAAGGCAAACGCGGCTGGATGGTCCCGCGATGATGACCTGTAGAGCGTGATAGTTATGATGCTGCAGCGACGAACTGCTGAAAGGATTTCCCTGTGAAGATGGTTGTAGCAAGAGACGGGAAAGAGAACAACTTCATGCAGTGCATTCGTTCACATATTCATTTCAATGAGCATAACGGAGTGATGGAATGGTTGAGAAAGAGGAGGAGGAGGAGGAAGACCTGTCTGCTACTCTTGTGTCTACACTGGGCCTCGTTTCTTCTCCCCGTGTCTGGCTCCAACAAGAATGGTTCGTATCGCAACAGAGATCTGCCTATCGCTCTACTCTTACAATAGCCAGTACCTAGCTACTGGTGAGTCAGTGAGTTTCCAAGAGTGTATGTAGGAAGGGTCCACCACTGACTGTAGCTGTCAAGGGGTGCTCGTTTTGACCTTTTTCTTTGAACCCCCTACCTCCACTTCAGATGGGTCACCGATGGGTGGTGGACATTCGTCAGCATCACCCAGGCGTCAATGGGGGAGCTTGGGATATCGGGGGAATGGGAAGGGAGAAGGGGGGGAGGATGACCAGGAAGGGATGAGTAGAGAGGAGAAGGAGAGCGTCTGCATGCAGGACGACAGGAACATGGTCTTACGTTCGAGTTGGTCCTCAGATGAGAAAAACAGGAAGCAGAGCAGCACGTCCGCTAGACTTGTCAGTGATAGCTTGACGCTCTTCAGTGAAATGGTCCCAGTGACAGAAGAATACACCTTCCTAGCCTTTCATGCCGTAGCCCCCCGACTCTCTGCGCTGCTCGCCGCCATGTGGAGGAGGGTGACCTTGCGCAGCAGGCTCAAGACGCATGCGCTGAAGGCAGTGCGATCTCGCTAGAGCTGAATTGAAGACCTTGCGATGAAAAAGCTTCTCTCGGGCGGAGGGAAGAAGGACAAGGACGGCAACAAAGACAGTAAGTTCAGAGAGTACGTCTGGCCGGATGGCGGGAAATATGAGGGCGAGTGGAAAGACGGGAAGATGCATGGCAAGGGCAAGTTCATAGAGGTGAACGGGACTTGGTATGAAGGGGAGGTAGACTCGTCCCTGCTGCCTCTGGAGGAAGGCTGACTAGATTGGATCCAGTGGTATGAAGGGAAGATGCAAGGCAACGGAACGCAGGTGTGACGTGGCGGGGAGGAGCGAGTAGAGGTGACTGAGCTGCTGCTTTCAAAGGTGTTTGAGAAGGGCGACCGGTACACGGGCATGTACTATAATGGACTGAGGCATGGCAAGGGAGTGCAGTCGTTTGCCAACGGGAACAAGTAAGAGAGCTAGAGGTCAGCGACCGCCTCAACTGATGAGTTAGTGTGAAGGTACGAGGGAGACTTCTGGCAAGGGCAGATCCACGGCCAAGGGATCTACACTTGTGCTGATGGAAGGAGATACGCAGGAGAGTTCAAGAACAACCAGAAGCACGGTGATACGTTGCTTGCTCTGTCCAACACGACTGCTGATGAAGCTTCAGGCATCGGGAAGTACTCGGGAGCTAATGGCTCCTACACCGGCGAATATCTCAATGGCAAGAAACACGGGAAAGGAATCTTCACGTGGACGGTAAGGAAGGAAATGAACAATGACGCCCTCCCTTCCTTGTTTTGCGCCATGTTGACTGTCGAAGTCCTTGTCCTTTGTCTGCCTCAACTACTTTGTCGGATCTAGATACCATGTTGTTATGGAGTATTTCATTGACGTCCTCCCTTACACTCCCTCCAGGACGGCACTGCATATGAAGGAGACTGGGAAGAAGATGTCATGCATGGAGTCGGGTATGTGACGGGAGGAGGCCACTGATAATGCATTGTTGCCGCTGAGGGTGATGTTTATAGTGATGATACTAAGGATGGTGTTGTTGTTGTTGAAGAGTTCGAGGAGTTTTGCCTGACTTGCACGTTACTTTCAAGGGTTCGGACTGAACGTGATGGAACGAGAGTTCACGTGGCGTATACCAAGGGAGTCTTGAGCAACGCGATTAAAGCGCTCGATGATCAGACAGGTGACTTCGGCATGTTTCATGTTCTTCCTTTCTTCTTGTTGCCCTCCCTCCTTTCTTTCTTCCCTTCCCCTCCCCCCTTCTCCTTCTCTCCTTTCCGTCTCCATTATGATCATAGCTAGATCCTAATGATCTTGCTTGAGATGACGTGTATCTTCGTATCTGACTGGTCCTGTCTCAAGAAATTGCTCCTCAAGAAAACCTCAATAAGTCTCAAGGCCGTCCGCCTGAAGTGAGACGAAAGTCCCTCCCCGTTCTCCTCTCCCTCCTCCCTCCTCCCTCCTCCCTCCTCCCTCCTCCCTCCTCCCTCCTCCCTCCTCCCTCCTCCCTCCTCCTTGTGCTCTCTGACGTCTTCCCTAACAAGAGGATCACCACCAAGGCCCCTGCCAAGAGAGTCGTCACTCCTTCCACCTCCACCAAGGGCAAGGACAACAGATCGAAGAACGCGGAGGATGACGTAAGAGCGCGATTGACATGCTCCAGCTTTTTCTCACTTCTGTCTGCTAGGCCTTCGGAGGAATCAACAGCATCCAAGGCATCGGGTAGGAGCCCACCTGCCTCCTCCGCCTCTTGATGGTTGAGTTGAGTTTCAGAAACCTGCTGAGATGCGATGGCGGATGCTACGGTTCAAGGGACACAAGGCCGCCAACTAAGGTTGCACAACTCGCTCCCATTCGCTGTCTCCCTGCCACCCACTTTGCTCACTGCCTCCTCCTCCTCCTGTTCTTGTCCCTGCTCTCCTCTTGTTCTGCCTTCCTACCCTCCTCCCTTTCCGAGTTTCTCCTGCTTGCCGCGTCTCACAGGATGCTCCAGCAAGTACGGACCTGCGACTTTCTCCCATGGGACTGACCCTCCTCTCGACGGCTCGGGCCAGAAGTTTTAAGTTTCTTTAATTACAAGAGAGGGGGGGTGAATCAACAAGATGGTAATGTACAAGTTATCCAAGGGCCTCGAAGTTTTGCATCAACACTGTCACGTCGTTCATGGGCATCGGGATGGTCTTTCCTTCCCCCCCATCCAGCACCCGTCGCTTGCTCATGAACATGTCCGATTCCTCCTCGCACTCTGACAGCGAGGGTCAGCTTGCATCCCACCATCCTCCTCCGTCCTCACCTGGAATCTTGGTCTTGTTTGGTCGCTCCCCTCGCGCAAAACCCATGGGGCTCGAGCAGTACATGCTCCTGAAGTCGTGGATCGAGTGGTTCCGCATCGATCGACCCTGCTGTCTCAAGCGTGAGCAGCGAAACATGTCCACTCTCCTCTACACACCTCTCTCCCTCGTTGGAGAAGCCCATCCTGATCCTCAGTATCCGTGTCCTCCTCGCTATCCGTCGTTGCCTCCAAGAAAAGCTTCTGCGAGCTTATGGGTGGCGGCTTATTCCTCCTCACAGGGCTGAAGGAGAGGCCTGCGCAAGCCTCGTCAACACCGAAGGCACAAGCGCACGTTCCCTCACCTCTCATCCCGTCCGAGCACTCGATGTTCGAGAACCTCCTGCTCTTGTTCGTCTTGAGGTACAATCCCAGACGCCTTCCGTACAAGTCAGCCTCTCCCTCCACCCACGAGCTCCGCAGAACCTCTTGGCGTCATCCTCGTCCGTGAGTCTTGCAGGGCCTTCACGCCTGATCTCTGATGTGCTAATGCGCAGAACGATGGTGTCTGAGCTTCCAGCTTGCCTACCAAGTGCTTGCTGCATTCTAATCGACAAAGATCTCCAAAGTGTTTGTGCACGCCCTGTACGCTTGTTTTGGTGTCTTTCTCCTGACCTTGTATCCTTCTGATTTTAACAAGAGGTGTCAGAAGCCAGATTTAAACAGATGGTAGAAAGGTGGCAAGTATCTTGTTACAAGGTTCGGCAGACTGAGCTATGAAATGGATTTGGTACTGGTTGAGCTAACTATAAACCCGACATGCCCATGCAAAATTGAACAAGGTTCACAACTTGAGCTTTCAGAGGTAATCTGCATAAATAAGACACTAAATTCTGATAATACTAAAGAACAAGCTATAATTTTACAAATCGCTGCAAAACCGCGTGACGGTTAAATGAACAAACCGCAAAGAACTCGAAACGAAATCTTGTATAAACTTCGATGGTCTACTGAGACGACAGAGCTATTGAACATATGTCGAAATCTCATCTTCGTGCTATAAATACAACTGCATCTTCCTTTGCAACCTTATGAACAAGCCAAAACAACCAGGATTAGTCTGTTCGAAAGCAAAATCGGAAAGTTTCCCTGTTGGCTGCAGTTATGCTCGTACCAGAAGCAATGTCTGGTAGGCAACTCATCTCTGATTCATCTCAGCCTCTCCTAAATCATGATAGCTGCGTCCTCTTGGACTATCCTCCCTCTCCCTCCCCCTCTCTCCACAGTCAACATGTTGCCCCTGTTCGCTATCCTTTTTACCACCCCGGCCATCCATTTACTACCCTACGTACCCTAGATAGCACCCCCATTGGGATTCCTCAGGTCGATCATGTCAGAGGATGGGGTGCTATGGTTACAAATTTTATATATGTGTCATTAGCTCTCAATGGGTATGCCCTTATGTATAGCCTTTCACGAACACATCCCTTTTGAGGTACCCTACCACTGACTCCGTTCCAGTGACCCCCCACCCGGACAATTAGAGTTTTTTTACCCCTGTAAGTCTTTGCCCCACCAGATCACCCTACCCCTTCTAAAAGCCGAACCACCGGTGAAAGAACTTCAGGCATCCTTACTACCCATTCAATACTCCTTCAAAAGTACCCTACCCTCGAGGAACCTTGCTGTGCTCAACAAGTCACACCCACCAAAAGTACTACCCCACCCTCAAATGTTTTACCCCTGGGTACGTGAACCCCACCAGCGATCAGCTTTCAGTTACCCACCCTTACATGAATTGTTCCTCAACCCCCACCCTCAGTTTCCCCTTTTGGTACCTCACCCTTTCCCTTTGCCGATATCTACCACCCGTGATGACAGGTGTTATCTAGCACTACCCTTGTCTCACACTGTATTCTTATCCCAACGATTCTCCAACCCCCCACCTCTCTCAATCCATAAGTCCCCTCCTAATAAATATCCTGGATCCTTCACCCAGTACATCTCAGGCTGCGATAGAAGGACGCATGAGGTACCCCAACCCTACCTCCTGGAAAACGGCCATGCTCCGTGAACAGGAAGGGTAGGGTATCGAATGTAACAGATGTCAGCATATCCCGTAGCAAGTGAGAAAACGTACCTGCAGATTCTTTCTGGATTGTTTACTACAAGGTTGCCTGTCAGCAGGAATCGACATGTACAAGCTATAGATCCCAAGAAGACTGTTTTCAAGATCTCAGGAACCGAGGAGACGGGAAAGCGACTCTTCGCTAAGCTCACAAACTTCGAAAACACTTACTTTCGCAGTCTGGGGGGGCCAGTAGCCAGGGATCTGTTAACTAAAGAGTCGCAAGAACCAAGTCCGCCTCATCAGATATAATCCAAACTCATGACAGGCAGCGATCACATGGGCCTCTTCCCCTACAAATACCTCGGGATTGACTAAAACCTGGCGTCACTGCTACACCGATGACTAAAATCTTTACTCCTGCCCCCGGCCCCGGGATAAGACGGGCCGACCCGAAAACTCAGTTCGATTTGCCAGGCCAACCACTACACCGGGTACCGCGCCGGACCGGGCCGAGAAGTCCGGCGGTCACTCACACTAAAACCGAATCTCAAGGTTACGATGGGGCGGTGTGGGGAGGAGGGTTCTTTCGGAAGAGACAATGCTGATACCTTGAGCGATAAGATTGGATGGAGAGAGAGGGGAAGGCGCAGTGAGAGAGGAGAGGCAAGGAGTATGGTGACCTTAGATCGCTAGAGCATGTCTTGCATGTCTAGTTCTGACGCTGCATACGAGCAGATGGTGGTGTGAGCACCCGGGATAGCAGGCAGTGGGAGTGGAGCAGTTCATCGGACAGAGCAGCATCGGAGAAGGAATGGCTTACAGAGAAAATATCATGATGGCCGGCATTGGCACGAGGCCGAAAGGTGAGAGTCATCGCCTTGAGTGATCGTCGTCCTACCTTACAGAGTCTATCAGCTGCGATCGCATGCTGTGTGTTGCTGTTGCTCCTGGCTATCACCGCCTCCAAGTCATGGCAGCAAGCGGCGCCGATAGCGGCAACCAGCGTCATCCACGAGGAGACAGGACTGGATGTGGGTTATCAAGAGAGTATGGGGGCGGTCGACCTGATCCCTTCCTGCCAGGCGAACCGATGGGTCGGCAATTTTCCGTTCGAGGGGGTGAGCATAGAAATCTGTTTCTACTGCTCCTTCCCAAAGCTCCCTCTCCTCTTGCACCTGCACCTGCTCCTGCTCCTGCTCCTGCTCCTGCTCCTGCTCCTGCTCCTGCTCCTCCTGTCGTTCCTTCGCCTGACCCCTCTTGGCCATGCTGTAGTCAAGTCCGGTTGCCTCCTTCGAGCGACGTGCAGCGGAGAAGGTCAAGCGCCTCAAGGTTGGTGATAGGAGCAGGAGCAGGAGCAGCAGTACAGGGAGTATTGAGAATGGATTGTTTGTGGGGAGCAGGGAAAGCAGCATCAGGTAGAGGCGCTGGTAGTTGTAGATAGGGAGAGGAATGGAGAGAAGGAGGGTCCTTGACTGACATGGCATGCAGGAAGGGCTCTACCGCCTGAAGCGCGGGCTGCAAGCATCCTCCCTGCAAGCTCGGGGAGGTTTGAAGGTGGTGTAGGAGGAGATTATGGCGGTTGTTGTGGAGTTGGAGTGGGGACGGCGGGAGGGGGATGACGGAGGGGAGGTCAAGGGTATAGATGGATGGGGTAAAGAGAGGGCGGGAAGGAGAGGGCTTCGGTGGATGGAGGAGAGATGGGATGCCGGGAGAGGAAATGTTTGAGGTGGAAGAGGAGGTGGTGGTGGTGATAGCGCTGCGGCAGAACTCCATCTCAACGAACGAGGGCAGGAAAGACTCTTTCCTCTGCGCCATCCCGGGGATCGCTGATGCCTTCGGTGATGCAAAGGGGGCTTCGAGATGCGACTTCACATGACAAGTGACCCAGGGTCCATGTTTGACATGTGCGCCCAAGGAAGGAGGGCGGGGATGCCTGCCGGAGTTTACAGCAGGTCTGGCTCGAGTCTATCCTCCTCCTCCTCCTGCTCCTGCTCCTCCTCTCTCTCTCTCTCTCTCTCTCTCTCTCTCTCTCTCTCTCTCTCTCTCTCTCTCTCTCTCTCCTCCTCCTCCTCCTCCTCCTCCTCCCTCTCTCTCTCCTCCTCCTTATCCTTCTCCTCCTCCTCCTCTGCCGCCGCTCCTCAACATTCGTGCTCGATTCTGCTGTGTCTTCCCTCTCATTCCCCTCCCAACCTTCCCTCAACTTTTCCTCGCCTTTTTCAAACTGCTCTCCTTCACTTTCTGCCCCTCCTCCTTCTCTATTGATCTCCTGCGGCTGCTCCGCCTCCTCGAATGTCCTTCTGCTCCTTCAGCATACATGCCCCGTTTTCCTGTGAGGGACAGCAACATTGACTTGTCGCTTCAAGGCCTCTTATGGCTGTCCCTCCGCCAAGCCCCGAAGAGATCAAGGAGCAAGAGGAGGAGGAGGAGGAGAGGCGCCTGCGGATGGGGTAAGAGCATGAACAGGCGGAGGTGGAGGAGGGGAAGTGAAAGGGATGGGATGGTGGAACAGGAGAAGGAGCTGAGAGAGAGGGTGGTTAAGAAGGTCAGAAAGAAGAAGAAGCAAGGAGGTGTAGGAGCAGAAGAAGGAGCAGCAGCAGGAGCAGAGACAAACCGTGCTGGTGCTGAGAGCTGTGACAGGGCGGAAGCGGTCGACGAAGCTGAGGACAAGATGGGCGACTACTACAACAGAAGTCTGGCAGATCGCCTCTTCACCCAGGTAACCTACAACTGGGGGGTTGCTGGAGGGATATGGCAATGACGGGAGAGCAGCCGAAGGATATTATCGCTCCTGCTGTCGGCGGACGATCGCAGAGGAGGAACTGGCAGGAGGTAGGAGGAGCGAAGTGGGAGGGAAGGGCAGCGCAGCGCAGCGCAGCGCTCGCAGCGCAGCGCAGGGGGCAAGATGGGAGGGAGGGAATGAGGAGTGAAGGAGGATGGGAAGTGGGGGAAGTGGGGGAAGTGGGAGGTGAAAGAGTTAGGCAGAGGGAACAGGGAGGAAGGAAGAAGAAGGAGGGACGGGAAAGGGGGGGGGAAGATGGAGCGCGGGAGGGGATAAGAGGGCATCTGACATTCTTGTTCAGGTCCAGCGGATCTTCGATGACGTGATGTCTGTCCTTCTCGTTCCAAATGTCACATGGAGGTATGGGAAGAGAAGGAGGGGAGAGGAAGGGAGGGCAAGAAGACAGAGGAAGCGAGGAAAGGGGAGGGAAGAGGAGGGAGTACAGCGGGATGCCAGGATGGAAAAGGGAAAGATGAAACCACAGAGTGGAAGTTGAATTGTGTTTCTTCTGATTTTGGGTGCAGAGATCTGCGGTGGAAACATTCAGGTTGTTAGGGTGGGAGGAGGAAGAGGAGGAGGAAGAGGAGGAGGAAGAGGAGGAGGAAGAGGAGGAGGAGGAGATGAAAAACTCCAGTAAGCTCGTGAGCAGGAGGAGCAACTCGATGTGGGGACGATGATCCGACATGTGGATCAGATCTCACGCTGCATGAGTAAGTGGAGAGGGGAAGGGACGGGGAAAGTGGGAGGGGAGTAGGGGAGGAAGGGGTTGAAAGCTGACCTATTCTTGCAGGCCATATTTGAAGAGGGAAGAAGAGGAGCAGCGATTCTACAGCCCCTTTGCTGGTGAGAAAGGTGGAGGAGCCTAGTAGCGATGTAGCAGCAGCAGCAGCAGCAGCAGCAGCAGCAGCGGCAGCAGCAGCAGCAGAGAGAGGAGAGGGTCGTTGACGTCACTGCAGGGTCCCCGATTCTTCCTCCTCCTCATGCGGCAGGTGGGGCTGTGGTGGAGTGTTTGAACCCTCCGACCTGCAGGTTCCCAGCTCCTCGAGTTTGAAGAGGTCCTGACCTTTTCTCAGCTCTGCCCCTCAGCTGGGAGAGAGGAAGGCAGCTGTAAAGAACCACGGGGACCTGTTCCGAAGGTGCGGCGCTCTACCCGCTGTCTTCTCGTCCTCCTTGTCCTTGCCCTCATCCTTGCCCGCCCTCCCCTTTCCCGCCCTCTTCCTCCTCCTCTTCCTGCTAAGTTGCCTCCTCGTCCTCCTCAATCTCCTCTTTCTACTCCTTACTTCTTTACTTCCTCCCCTTCTCTCCCTTCTCTCCTCTCCTCCTTCCTCACGTCGCTCTCAGCTGGTTTTCCGGCGTCCCCGTCTCGGCAGGCTCGCACTCTCCTCTCGGTTCGCCTCCTCCATCTGCCTAAGGCTACTGACGTCTGGCTGGCAGGAGGAAGAGTCGCCTGCTCCGACCCCACCTGTGGCTCAGCTCCGACGCTGCACGAGCCCCGGATCTACTATGAGCCGTTGAAGCGAAGGTAGAGCAGGAGGCAGAGAGGAGAGGAGGAGGAGGAGGAGGAGGAGGAGGAGGAGGAGGAGGAGGAGGAGGAGGAGA